GATGATCTATCCTACAGAATCTTCTTATCAAATAACATCTTAATACCAAAAGCAGACACAAATGACAGCTGAGTCCCCCAGCCAAATTAAATCTTTACTGGGCAGACATCAGTCTTTGTTCACAGATTGTTTTACCACATCCACTGAGTCCAGTGGCTCACTGCAGCTCAGATAACACCCAGGATGTGGTTTTCAGGCCTGTGTGCCAGGCCACTTTGCCCAAAGGTCACGTAGGTCGACAGAGGCAGTGGCAGGTTCCTCATTCACCACCACAAAAGAAGTTGGCTAGTTTGTCAACTTCCTCATTCATTGAAAATTTGACCGCATTCTCTCTTTCTGGGATTCCATTGAGCCAATTCGGAACATTTGGATTCTTTCAGTATTAAAATGAGAGTCTGAAAGAAAACAGATCTGGAAAAGTTTATCATTAAGAATATTTGCTCTTTCAAGATCCTTCATTTCAAGTCTGCCACCGACCCCATTCACCTCCTGTTTAAAAATGACATGAAGTGTCAGCATTCATCCCGTCTAAATTGCAGCAACCAAGGGCCAGAGTGGGAGAGAGGGAGCAGGGAGACAGGAAAGGGCAGCCACTTTGCGGGATCAATTCGCGCAAACCTTTTCTTGGTCAATGTCCTATGTGTGTGTTTGCTCCCTTTGTGTAACTCATTGCATCAAGTGTTTGCAGAACACCTGTGCTGTGCTCGTACCCATTATTGCCTCCGAACAAACACAGTAATGTTTGGAGTGTGATTCACACCTTGAAGTCCACTTCCTTTCGGAGATACTAGCTCGTAATCTGCACATTGAAGAGAGGAATAACCCTGCACCAGCTTCTCGGCGTCCCAATCCTGTGAATGGAGAGGCGTGGGATAGCATGCTGGCAGCGTTTCAATACTGAAGTGCTCTTTCCAGAAGCTGCCTCTGACCGTGACTTGATTTACTTAAATAAAAAAAAACTTATTTTCTTCTAGAAGCAAACGTGTCAATAACCCACAGCAGAACCCAAGGGAGAGGCGCTCTTGACAGATGGTCCAATCTGGCAAAATCATTCAGCCCCTGAATGAACGCAAATCGAGCACCTACTATGTGCCAAGTCTCTTGTACATCCTGAGCACAGGGCAGTGAAAAGGACACTAAGTCCTGTGCACTCTGGTGCTTACATGCCAATGTGGGGGACAGAAAACAAGTAGACAAATAAGAAGCAGAATGATTTCAACGAGTGATAAATATTATGAAGGGAGCAGAAAGCCCAGAAATGTGGGGTGGGGGTTGTATATCATGTCCCCTCTCCAAAGCAGGGACACAGATTCAGATCATAAGGAGGGCCTCCCACCTCTCGCCATTCTCAGAGTAAGGTTACGGGACCTTAGAAGACCTTAGGTGAAAGAACTGCATGATCTCCTGCCAACATAGCCTCTCTCTCTATCTCTCTCTCTCTCTCTCCAATAAAAACATATCCTCAGATGAGGAGTTTTTAAAGAAAGAGAGAAAATGAACTTCTTTGAATTTCAATATCCTGCTTTATAAAAAAAGAGATAACAACTGATCATTCAATGGGATAGCCATGCCAAAGTGTCCAGTACATAGTAGGTACTCAAGAAATACTAATTATCTTCTTCATTCATATCCTCATGTTATTAATACATAGTTGGAAAGACAGTGCAATGCCAAAGAGAGATTTCTTCAGTCTGACTTAAAAATGACTCCAATTGTGGCCTCAGCATATGATCAGGACCAGGTACTTGATTAAAAAAAATAGTAGCTTTCCCCCTTCTCCCAACACC